TCCATTGGCCATTTGGCCCCACCCTACCCCCGGGGGTCATGATTTGAACAAACTTGAATCAATACTATCTGAGGATGATTCCACATGAGTTTCATCTTTCCTGGCCCAGTGGTACTTGAGAAGAAGATTTTTTAAGATTTTTCTTATATATTCCTATTTAAAACTTTGATCGGCCATTCTGGCCCCACCCTACCCCCGGGGGTCATGATTTGAACAAACTTGAATCAACACTATCTGAGGATGATTCAACATGAGTTTCATCTTTCCTGGCTGAGTGGTACTTGAGAAGAAGATTTTTTAAAGTTTTTTCCTATATATTCCTGTTTAAAACTTTGATCGGCAATTTGGCCCCACCCTACCCCCGGGGGTCATGCTTTGAACAAATTTGAATCTACACTACCTGAGGATGATTCCACATGAGTTTCATCTTTCCTGGACTAGTGGTTCTTGAGAAGAAGATTTTTAAAGATTTTTCCTAGATATTCCTTTGTAAAACTTTGATCGGCCATTTTGGCCCCATCCTACCCCGGGGTCATGATTTGAACAAAATTAAATCAACACTACCTGAGGATTATTCCACTTGAGTTTCATCTTTCCTGGCCAAGTGGTTCTTTAGGAGAAGATTTTTTAAAAATGCCATTAATTTTTCTCTCATTCATAATTATCTCCCCTTGGAAAAGGACGTGGCCCTTCATTTGAACAAATTTGAATCCCCTTTACCCAAGGATGCTTTGTGGCAAGTTTGGTTGAAATTGGCCAAGTGGTTCTTGAGAAGAAGATGAAAATGTGAAAAGTTTTCAACGACAACGACAACGCCGACAACAACGACGACAACGACAGACAACGGACAAATTGTGATCAGAAAAGCTCACTTGAGCCTTTGGCTCAGGTGAGCTAAAAAGTAATTTCCAATTTTCTCTAAGTTTATGTTACAAATTTAAAACATAATTCACAAATGATTATTAATAGAATTTTAATTAATACTCTTAGCAGATGGATTAATATAGTTCCAAAATGACTTTTCGTTGTTTCCGTAAATTGTAGCCGTATTTGTATCTGTTCTTTTTCAAGCAGTTCCTTGCCTTGCAATGACTCAAACACAGGGCTTTTCTATTTCTGTACATTAACATGATTCTATAAAGCGCAAGATGATATTAGTTTTTACTATTTGCTTTTCATGTTAAAAAGCTTGCATATTTTAGTGTTACTTTCTAAATCTAACAGCATGAAAGATACATACGACCGCAAAAATCTTTTCAGACTGTAAATGTAAAAGAATGTTCTTTTCAATAGCAACAATTTTCTGTCTTAAAAGATGAACATTACACTTTTATCCTGTCTTTTGGCATGATTTCTTTATGCAGCATTGTCATATCTAGGAGCTGAATTTTTACAAAACCTTGGCGAGTATACACAATGTTCAAAGTACTTCGAAAAATACTCAGCTTTGAGGTGTCAATTTGAAAATTTCAACTACTGTAAACCAATTATTATACGCGTCATTTTTTATTCGCGACTGACCGCTAGAGAACTAATCCGGGACTATTTATTTCCGCGAACAAGTGGTCACATTTTTTTATTTCCACAAGTATTTTTTGTTTTAAATTAAAATTTTATATCCACACATAAACTAAGTAAAATGCTACCGTGAGTACTGCTTAGGCATTATTCAAGACATTGTATGCATTGCGTCCATTTAAAATCTTATATCCGCCCCTAAAGTGGGTAACAAGATACCATGAGTATACTTCTTACGCATTATTCAAGACGATCGAATGAAAATCGGGAAAAAATCTAGGAAATTAAAGTTGATTTAAAACTCTCAAAAGTGACTCATGCTAATTGGGTAATCAACATAGCCAAAGGGCAATTATTATAAATGGTTGGGACAGAGCAGGACCGGGCCATAATTAGTTGTACATGTCATTAACCAGGCTATCTCTAACTGGTCTGTGACAATAAATAAACAATAATAAACAAGCTGAAATAATTATTGACATTTTAATCATTTGTAGACAAATACTAGTAGTCTTAGATTTGTCATTCGTTTTTATATTTTTTCTGAATGTTTGTAATCAAATTTCAATTTCTTCTAGTACACTAAAGTTCTTCCGTGATTACTTATTGAACCGTTGGAATCGGTATTCAAAAAAGGGTAAATAATTCTTATCATACCACATGGGAATAAAATGAACAACTGGTTCGCAACGATATATATCCGCGAGCAGAGTTTACTCGCGGAACTCGCGGATATTTATCGCACGCGTATAATACTTGGTTTACAGTAATTGTATCAGAAAAGCTAGATTAGTTTAATTTGTAAATATAATGTAAAATCATGCAGATGTAAAATCATATCACTTATTGATGAAATGCCATTTTAAAAATCCACTTTAAAAATTAAAGATAAAAAAATATAAAGATATGTACATTTAAATGAACTATTAAATACATATTAGGACTATGCCTCGTATTAAAGGATGATAATGTTCATTTCATCGCAAAAAGAATGGACCTTAATTTGTGCGAAAAAACATGTGATCTTAGAAAGTGCGTTGAGCTGTATATGGGACGCGTTTCATTGACAGATATCCAAGCACGAAGTTAACTTTTTTTCAATGCATAAAAAAGCAGAAATTTGATATTCATTAATGAAATATATTATAACTTCAATCCAGAATATTCAATGTAGAATGAGGGAACAAAACTAAATCAAGGATTATGTCTTTCCTTGCTCAGTAATGTGTGTGAAGTAAACAAACGAACACATCTGATAAAAAGTAAATATTTTAAATACCAGAAATAATAAAACTCGAGTATTATAGTTCTGTTAATGTTAACAAACATAAAACGTCTGACGTAATGTAAAAAGTATTACGTTGTCATTGAATTCGAATAGTATTCATGTACTGTATATGATAAAGCAAAAACAATTGTATTGCAGCAAAGCCATTCTGTTCAGGTCCCTTTATGAGTTAAAAATTCAATTATCGTTTTTTTTCTTAACTTGATAAACTGCAATTTGAATTGTTCTTTCAGGAAAATCTAGTTTTTTTAATTTTCCAGAAAACTTGCACAAATTGAGCGAGGTAATGAACATTTTTTTACTTCAAGGACAGAATGAAGGTACATGTACATATATAATCGTAGACAACATTCAAGATACAGAACCAAGTGAAACAGTGCTGATGATTCAGAAAAAAAAGTATGCATCGCACAAACATTCATTTTGCACATTAAGCGAAAAAATGCAGTGTTTTTATTTCAGGGATTCATGTCCTTTTAATTTCAAATGGAGGAAGAACACACACCCTGTGAATATGAATGTCTTTATCAAAGGTAAATATTATTTAGAAAGGGTATTTCACATTGCGTGCAATTATACCAAATACCAATTATATAAAATATCAGCTAAACGAAGGCAACCAAATTATATATTTTTATTCCAGTCTATAATGAACATTATTACCCACAAATCTCATATAAATATTCTATTAATATATTTTCTCCTGACTTCACATTTGAAATCTGTCACTATGTGTTTTGATTCTTATCATGCTTTTGATATTTTCATTTCGTGGTTACCATAAAGAGGCAAAATTTGAGAGAAAAAGAAATCTGGTACATGTAACTAAGTGATAAAAAATATTTATCTTTTCATAAGTAATACTAACTCAATAAAAGATGTACATATAAGGTAAGCTGATACATGCATAGATTACATAAATTATATATTTTGTCTAACAATATGAATTGGATCATGTATTGAAGGTCTCATTATGAGGAGAATGGTGCATCAAACAAAACTGGAAAGTCCGTATTAGATCAACAAAACGCACAACATGAAGTGGACAACCCAAATGTGACTGCCGATACCACAAACCCTCAAAAGAATGATAAACTGTGCTTTTATTCCATTGATGATCCAAGGTTTGTTTTGATATAAACATTAAATATGAATGTTGAGGCAAACATAGGAACTAATACAGTAAAGTGAAACATATGCTCCTGTAATTACAACCTGTTTTTGTTTATATGTGTGTGGGGTGGGGACTGGGTCGGGTTTTATTTAATTTCTTATGAATCCGTAGTTACTAGAAAAAGATGTCATTTAGTGAATTTCTTTCATAATGTTCTTTTTTTGCATCTTTTGTTTAATTTCACTTCATCGGGTACAAGTACATATTTATAGAAATTGGATTAATAAATTCTGTGTATCACTTTTCTACTATTATTAGCTGAATTTCATTACATCTGGATATTCGTTCTTTTGTCGTGTTCATAACTTGTTGAGACACCTGGCAATGGAATGTCTGCAATTGGCTACATGTACTTATTATTCATTAAAATTATGTGAAATGCTTTAATTACCATATCCTAACCACAAACCTTTTTTTACAACTACAGTTTGCTTTCAGCAAATTTTGATACGCAAGAAGACTTATGTTTAGAGTTAGAATATATCATTTTGTAAATCTCCTTATTCAATGTCATAAATGGTTACTGTTTTACTTTATGAATGACGTTCTTTTATATTCAGGTATTGCTTGCTCCACAGATATGTCGTGATACCTGAATATTCATATCAATATATAACCTTTTCTCTCTCCGTATTTAAGGTTACAAGCACAAGTAGCACTGCAAAAAGAATCTATTTTTTCTGAGGAAAGTACAAAGCAAGAAGTTATATCAAATAAAGTAAGAGTCTGAGAATAATGTCAATGTTTGCCATTATTAATTATACCTTTTTTATTTCATTAAGATTGTCAAAGGTACATAAAATATTCAATATGAATGCACTAAATGTCTAGTAGATAATAAAATAATAATAATAATAATAATAATAATATTTTTAGATCTAGTTTTTTTCTTGATATATATGAACTGTGAAACTTTCTTTACGGAAATATATTACTGAATTTAATTATATTCAATTTTATTCATCCTTACATTTTGCATAGATTCTAGAAAAATTAAATGATGAAGAAGATGAAAAAGAGGGAGCAACGAGGTACTGAATATTTGGGGAATTCTTGCTTGATTTCAGCTTATAATACCATAAAAAAATTACGAAATTACTTCTCTATATTCGTAATACGTATAAATCTAACGAATCCCATATATGTATGTAAGATCCATATATGGAAATTGTTAAATTTATATAGCTGGGGAGCCAAGATAACTTTGCTTTATTATATAGCTAATAAAAAGTCTCTAATAAAATACAACCAAAAATTTAGAGAACTTTAGCGTTTAATTTCTTGACGTTTTATTGAACGCTTACTTTCTATTATATATATGCGAATGCCCGAAACATTCAATCGCCCCGTCGTAAACTAAAAAGGTCGTCTGGTCAAATTCTCAGAGCTAGATTAAAGAAAAGATGTGGCATCTAGGTAAGATGTGTTTATTTTTCACACTAAAATAAATTAATTCATTAGAATAAAGTACGTATTAGACCCATTTAAACCTAAATAAGCAATTCATATCACTCGGTAGGGTCATCGGAATGATAGGAAATTGAACGCTAACAGGACAGTCGTTAATTTGAATACTGATACTAAATAATCATTAAATTGAGGTTTTTTTTTAGTTCGAATAATTATCATAAATTATGTAGAAATGTTTTAGCTATATAATAAGGGGTTATAGGACTTATATAGGTGAATATTTGCACTCGTTGGCTTTTCAAGTGCACTCGCAAGCTTGTGTATTTGAAAAGCCAACTCGTGCCGATATTCACCAAAATAAGTTCAATAACTCTATAATATCCATGAGTTTGCAGTATCCGTAATCGTATTAAACGAGTTTTAAGCTGAATGTTAAATTGATTATATTGAATGCCTTTTTTATGGATACACACCCGTCGAAATATACAAGAATAAACTCGTGCTTAATTGACGTCACAATGAGCTAGAGACGTTGATTAAAATACACGACCGAAATGGGGTAGCGAGAAATTCAAACAATGAGTACAACTTCGTTGTTTCAAAAATGCAAAATGTGAGCATAGGAATGTTTTGATTAAAGTTTGAATTATTTGTGTGAAAGTCAGTACATTGCAAATACTTTAAGGGGTTGGATGACAGCAGATACTTTAAGTCACGAAGAAAAATTAATTATCCTGTTTGACGAGCTGCAGTTGATTCTTGAAAGTGACGAGTATGACGACAGCTTAAGAAAAAGTCTACAAGAATCCAATCCAGGGTATCTGGAAAAAATCGAAAAAAGAAAGAAAGATCTGTTTAAAGAAGACCATGGAATTCTTGTCGCAGGTAAATATGACACGAAAATTTGAAATGGAAGCTAAATTAATATATTTTTATGACATGACATAAATAAAATTTTATTTTGATTTTAATTTTTAGTCATTAAAGAATGCTGAGACAATATCCCTCATCACCATATTAACGATTAAAGATCAACATGTCATATGTGAAAAAAAAAACAACAACATTTTTATTCAGTCTTTTAAATCTGACTTTCCATTGTAACGAGTGCATGAGATTACCTTTAAAGAATATATTTCCTTTCCAATTTATACATGCATGTCACTCTGTTAACGCTTCATACAATTTGACAAAATGCAGTTTTTGTGATAAAGGTATTAGAATTGTTACTACGAGACATTTTCTCTACAGGTGAAACAAGTTCAGGGAAATCGACGTTAATAAACAAAATACTACAAAAAAGAATTTTTAAAGCCAAGTTGAAGGAGTCAACGTCTACAATTTGTAAAATAAGAAATTCCGATGAAGTTAGGATTATCACTAAGGACATAAATGGTGAACTCAGAACAGTAGCATTTCAAGAAAAGTGCGATCTTGAAACAGACGATGGACTGAAGTCACTGAGAGATACATTAGAAAATTTAACAGACGTGACCTCAGCGAGGGACAGCAACAATTTCCAATCAGTAGACGTTGGATTCCCAATACCCTTTCTCAAGGTTATATCAGAAGAATAAAAATCAAATTTATATATTGTATAAATTATACATGTTGTTTTTCGGATATAACATTTGTTAATATAAATAAAAATGCTAATTAAATTCGATCTGACAGGGCAACACGATTATCGTTGATACCCCAGGAATAGGTGGTTCTGGGGACTATAGCGAAAAACTGATGGAGTACCTTCCAAATGCAGTTTCCTTTATTTTCGTTGTCGATGTAGCAAGTGCCGGTGGAATGCAAAATGACAGGGTACGTTAAATCACAAAAATTAATGTTAACTGTAAACACTTTGAACATATTAAACTCCTCCCTAACTTTTTCAGCGCTACAACTTGATCACATGATCAATTATATAACAGCATATATAAAATTAAGTTATTATTCATAAACTATAAAAAGCATCTCAATGTTGGGTCTAAAAATTGAAAATGATAAAAGTGCTGATTTCACAAAATTAGTGCCTTGTATAACTTGATACACTGTACTTCTAAATAGAAATTTAACTTTTTTGTTTTGTCAGGAACGTCTTCCTTCTGCCCTTTCATTTAGCTTTGAGTGAGTTCATTTTCTAAGAAACTGTTCAAGATATTTTTATCGACTTTGTTATGCTGGTAAATATAGATGTAATCTATTCAACTGCATCAACATTTTTTTTTTACCTTTTCCTTTCCTTTGACCTGTACCTTGACCTCTCTTTTCTTAGATCAGATACAATGTACCGGAAGTTTTAAAGTAACCATCCTTGATATTTTTGTTGAACTTCATATGATGATACATACTGATGTAAACTATTCAACAGCATCAACATTTTACATTTTCTTTGATCTTGAGCTCAGTGTTTAGATCACCTGAGCTAAAAACTCAGGTGAGTTTGCGAGGCTGACCAACTATTGTACATAGGGATCAATACTTGTTTATTTTATTTTAAATATTTTATCAATGGCATTTTCATCCTGCGTCATATTGTGACTTTTACAACTCAAACTATGATAATATCTCACTAAAATACTGTTCATTAGAACTAAAATTGTTCAACCCTAGTAAAGTGCTTTGAGGATAATCAAAGAGAAGCTTTTGATGAATTAACATCTTAATTGTTTTTTTTATCTCTCAAACAACCATATTAAACCAATCTCTGATAAACAACCTGTAACACTTGTATTTTAGGTGTCAACTGAGTCCTTTTTGTTTACATTATCTAACTGTTTATAAGAGCTTGAATCAAACTGGAGCTTCTCAATGAGAAAAGCAAGGCTTAAAATATGTGTTGACTCAGTACCCTGGCATTGCAAGGCTGACAAAATGCAAGATAATTCTAATACATTTCAAGCTATATGTCTCTGAATGAAAACAGGAAAACATTTGTTTTGAAATCGATGGTAAAATTATTAATCCAGAAAACAAAGTACAGTTACCTGGCGTTACTTAGAATGTTGAGCTTACGTTTAGCTCTTATATTTTAAATATTCTTAAAAACCTTCACAACAACTAAAATATACTTAAAAGAATAAAGGGAACACATGACTTCAATACAAAATGTATCTTACATTTATCATGTCGAACTTCAACTAATGTAAATCAGTTTGCATTTTGTTGGTGAACGAAGAAAAAGAAGAACAAAAAAATGAAATACAGGAAAGAGCTCATAGTTTGGTCTTTTAAAACTATGAAAATTCCTATGATTATCTTTTTGATAAATCAAGATTGCTATACCTCGAACTCCAGCGTAATAGAGCAATGGCGATTTATTGTTTCAAGATTTTAAATAACTAAGTCCGTTTTACCTGCATGGTTTTACTCATATCGAAGATTTTAACGCCATATTTTTTAGATATTCAAACAAGAGGCTCACGGACCGTATATGTCACCTGAAAATAACTTTCCAAAAACTAAATTTGTTTCGTTTTTTAAGCCGGGTGCCGTTAAATTCAAATTTTTGAAAGAGGCACGGATTGCTCATTTAACTATGCTTTTGGCATGCTTGCCTGGATTATTTTTTACCCAGAGACAGAACAGATGAACAAAGAAAATATACATTTACACTATAATCAGTAATGCCCCACCCCCAGGGACCCAATACAATTCACAATTTTGGAAAAGGAACCTTTGCTCAATACCAACAAAAACAAAAAGATTTCAAAGCATTAACTCATTTTTAGTACTATATTAGCATCAGAATCCTCTACTCTGTCCGAGGGCTTTGAAATTCACAATTCTTTTTTTTTTTTCCACATTTCAACTTTCAAATAGCAGTATACATATATGATTATTGTGGATTTTTATTAAACATTCACTCACTGATTCTCCCACCTCACTCATATCTTTCAGTATCACCTATTTATGAATTGTACAAAAAGATAATTCAATGTACATAAACATATATATATAATGCATGTTTATATATTATTCTGTGTTTACTATCACTATAAGTATATTTGTAAAAAAGAAAGAAAAAAGACAAAGGTAAAAATTATATACAATGTCCTTTTATGAATGTTAAATCTGATCATTTTTCAAATAAATTGTCTAATAATTGCCATCTCTTTTTGAACTGGGTGTCTTCCATATTTAATGCACACAAGTATTTTTCAAAACTATAGTATCTATATATAACAATTTTTACTTCGTTGAATATCAAAGGTTTACAATTTCTAGATTTTTGGTATACATACTGTTTTACAAGCAATATAATGACATTTAAAGATGTGTTTTCTTTGCCAGAAATACATTATATAACAGAAAGTGGGTCTAAGTTAATATTTTTTCCAGTTTTTTGTAAAATCCATTCTTCTAAACAATCCCATATTCCCTTAACAGGAAGACAGTAATAAAAAATATGCTTCAAAGTTTCCTGCTCAAGATTACAGACAGAGCACAGTGGATTATCTTTAATTTTTGATAAAAACAACAATTTACAAGTTCCCAGAATTCTATGTATGATCTTATAATTGAACCATTTGAGATTTGAATCTTTACTTATGTATTTAAAATTTGTAAAAAGATCTCTCCAGTTACAGTCATTCTGCAAACCTAAATCTCTTGTCCATTTTATAACACATACAGGTTGGCTATAACGCTTAGATAAAAAGAAATTGTATAATGATTTACAGCCGGAATCATCACGACAAAGGACCTGAATATGTGTAGGAATGTATATTCCAATAGCTGATGTTCTACACTGTTTAACTTCAGGCCATTTTTTCAGAATGGAAAGTCTAAACCCTTCATAATTAGTAAATGGGATTAACACATCATAATTAGTGAATACACAATTAAAGGATAACAGATTACCTTCGGCATCCAATAGATCAGACACAATATGAAAACCTTTTGCATATAACTGTTTGTAAAAAACAGATTTACTTTGTACTCTGATACTACTGTTAAACCATAAAGGTTCTTTCAAGACCTGGAGAATATTTTCAGGTTCAAATAAATTAATAAATTCTTTATAGTCAGAAAGGACTTCTTTCCAAAACATGTTATTTGTTGTTTTACTAAAATATAAGGCATATTCTGATCCAAACTGTAAAAGTTTTGTAATATTACAGCCTGTAGACTGCATAAATATTCTAGACCAGGTAGAGTCTGTATATATTAATCTCCTAATCCAAGTGAGCTTAAGTGCCTTAATAAATGTTGGCAAATGTGGCATTCTAAAGCCACCATCATCATAATCTAAAATCATTATGTTTCGAGCTATTTTATCATTTTTTTGTTCCATACAAACTTAAAAAAAGATTTCTCAAGGTTTTTCATAGTTTCATCACATGGTTTTGGCAAAGTTAACAATAAATGTGTAATTTTTGAAAGAAAAAGAGATTTTAGGACTGTAATTTTACCCAGAGGTGTTATATGCCTTTTTTTCCCAGTGGCTCATTTCTTTGTTTATATCATTAATTCTGCTAATAAAATTTATCTCTTCTATATTGTCAAGACTGGCATTAAATGTTATTCCCAATATTGTAAAGTTCTCAGATGTTCACTCTAAATTATATTCACTGCACAAATTGTCATTACAATTAATTTTTGAACCAATCCATATGGCTTTTGTCTTAGATAGATTAGGCTTTAAACCCGAAAATTTAGCAAACTGGAAAAGAAGATCTAGTGCACTCTTCAAACTTTTTTCAGACCCATCCAAAAATATAACAGTATCGTGTGCATATTGTGATAAGCAGACTGTTTCTTTGCCAATTTTTATACCCTTTATATTTTTATTTTGCCTTATAAGGTGACCCATTATCTCAATACAAAGATTGAAAATATATGGTGAGACAGGGTCTCTTTGACGACACCCTCTAACCTATGCAAAAGAATCTGGAAAAAATACCATTCTGTAAAACACATAATGTGGCATTTTTATATAAAACTGAAATCCATCTAATAAAATCACGACCAAAGTAAAAATATTCAAAAGTCTTGTACATAAATCTCCAGGAAATAGTGTCAGAAGCTTTCTCAAAATCTATAAGAAACATCATCCCTGGGATTTGTTTTTCTTTTGTAATATGTAGAACATCATAAATAAGTCGAGTATTTTCGTCTATGAATCTCCCTTTCAAAAACCCCTTTTGGTTCTCATGTATTAAATAATCTAAAACACTTTTAAGTCTATTTCCAATGCATGCTGATATAATTTTGTATGTCACATTGAGGAGAGAGATAGGTCTCCAGTTTTTTAAATATTCCCTTGGCTTTTCACCTTTTGGAAGTATAGATAAAATTCCTTGTTTCTGTGTATTAGATAATTCTCCTTTTAAAAAACCAAAGTTTATAGATCGAATTATAAAATCACCAATATCCTTCCAAAATAATTTAATGAACTCTACGTTGAAGCCATCACTGCCTGGACTTTTATCATTTTTCATATTTTTCAATGCAAGTGATGCTTCTTCCTTGGTTATCAGACACTCTAATTTGGAAGCTGACTCCTCATTTAAGATGTGAATGTTGTCCTTAATTAGTAAATTGTTTAGATTTATGTCTAGTTAAGTGTTATCACAGGATGTGTATAGATTATGATAAAAGTTTTCAATTTCTTTAAGAATTTCTTGTTGCAAGATTCTGGCATTTAACCAAAAACAACGTCTAAAATTTATCCATTTTCACTATATACTTAATAGAGCCCTATCCAACACCGGAACCCCTGACCCAGGGGGTATGAAATTTACAAGATTGAAAGAGGCATTGAAAAAGGCATCCTTTCTCATCAAATCTATGTAAAAGTTCAATTCTATCGTCAACTCTTATATTTCGCAGTTGATTTGATACGCAAGAGCAAAATTCTCAATACGAACAATTTCTATAACAAGGTAAAATATTGACAAACAAAATTTAAAACAAGAATATCAGCAGTCTCATTTAAAGACACCATTTCGCAAGTTCTATTGTCGATACACTGATCTTTTAAACAAATACAATTTATCAATGAGTTACATGTTGTATTTTTCATACGTATTCTTAGTCCATTATTTATACACTGAATCGACGACTTATGTTCCGTTATTTTCTGATCATAACAAAGAGCACACAGCGGGCGTGACTGGTCGGCAGAGGATGTTCACTCCTCGACGGGAGCTGATCCTACATCAAATGTTTTGGAGTTCCGTGTGTGGTTGTTTCTGTTTTGTATTGTTTTACGGACATTTGATCTTGAATACTGTTTGGTATCCCCATATGTTTCATAGTTTAATACCATGGAGGGAGGAAAATATTTTGGAGAACTAATGCATATGCATTTTCACTATATAATCAATTGAGCTCCTCCCTCACACCAAAGCCACTAACCCTGGGGCCATGTAATTCATAATTTTGAAAGAGGCAACTTCCTCATTATGACTATGAAGTACATAGTTCATCAGCTTGATACCCAGGATCAGAGGAGAAGATTTTTCAATGAATTAATGCATTTCACCATGTCACCATTTGAGCCCCGCTTTTAAACCAGAACCCCTAACCCAGGGACCAGGAAATTTTGGCAGCCAGGAGTAGAGGAGATTTTCAAAGAATTAATGCAATTTCTCTATATAATTATTAGATTCCCACCCTGACACCAGAATCGCTGACCCTAAGGCCATGAATTTCACAATTGTGGTAGAAGACTCAATGATTATTGAAATGGTCTGAAGGAATTATAGCGAGTCGATTTATGAAAAAAAAAATCATTCAAGTTGCTTCTGTCGAGTTAAAATATAACAACTGAGTATTTGTATCTCTTGCAGTCATTTTTTACGGCCATTATGATCTAGTTCAGAATATATTTTGGATTTTTTTTGTCAGTTAAACTTGGTTCAACAAGAATTCACCTCCATCTTCCCCTTTCCGCTTTCATATCTAAGCATTCATATTGTGATGAACGTTTTCAGTTCAGATTTCAAACAACAAATAATCGACGACACCAGCTAAATAAAAACCATCTTTTTCACTGTCTTTAAAAGCTTTTAGCTTGTTTTATCTCTACAATATCCCCTGAAGTCAGGTGTATGTGATAAATTTGAGCGGGTATATTCGTGTACCTCAATTTTCTTTAGAGAGAAGGAAGACTGGAATTTCTTGACATACATTTTATTAACTTTTGTATATGAGGTTGAATTGCATGTTTGAATTTTACTTGTTATTTTAATTTCTTTTTCTTGCTTCACGTGCCAAGATGACTAAAAAAAGTAAATGACTGATTGTTTTCTTAAATTTATTAAATTATTGATTTGAATTAAATCATTCAAACCAATGCATATGTTGCATATACATGTACTCCTAGTTTTATTAACAGCTTCCACATATTCTGAGGTCAATAGTTCAACTTCAAATTGAAGATGAGATACCTTGCTTTGATCCAAGAGATGTAATATTCGTAACAAATAAGTGGGATGCTATTTGTAAAGAGGAAGACAGTAGCGACAATGATGAACAAAATATCTGGGAAGAACTGAAGAAAGATATAAAAAAAAACTGGCCGTCTGTAAAGGAAGAAAATATTTTCAGAATGAGTCTAAGAGACGTATGTATTGCTTTATGTTTAGACGGCCACTTAAATGGAAAATTCTATATCAAAAAATAGACAAAACTATTTTTGACATAAATTATGTCACTTATACATGTACTTCATATTTAACATTCTGCTTTCAGACATTTAACAAACTGTAACATGTACAAGGGGGTATCAAAATGTTCGTGGCCCAGCGCCATAAAACTAAACCCGCTTTAGGTACATCAATGAATTTTGAAATATCTAGTAGGTATCATCTTTTCTATCTATAGAATAAAACCCAAATCATAATCTTCTTTTATTAAATTAGTATTGTTTTTGTAGGCAATGGTATGTCCAGGCGGCGCAACCTCGAAAACGACGTTTTTTTCGACCTAAGTATTACTGAGAAAAACTATTTTGATATAAATATTTGACATCCAAAAATCCCGTTATTTCACGGGTACCTGTAAAGTGCGAAACGAAATAGAAACGAAACGAAACGAAACGAACTGAAACGAAACGAAATCTGCCGAAACGAAACGAAATCTACCGAAACGAAATGAAACCTACCGAAACGAAACGAAATCAAGACGAAACGAAACGAAATCAAAACGAAACCTGCCAAAACGAAACGAAACATATTTAAACTTTCAGAATGTTTTTCAAATCAAGCTATTTTTTTAAATCAATATTTTATTATGTTAGATTACATAATTGGATTGGACATCAGGCATGGCCTATATAAGTCCTCTCCAAATCAAGCTATATAAATTTACATATAGTTATATATAATGTGTAACTGCATATGGTCTATTTTTACTTAATATGAAAATTATATAGTTCAAGCACCACAGGTTTCGCTTCAAGCTCATACATAGGCGTCAGAAGGAAATTGAAAGTGGGGGGGGGGGGGGTTAACCAACAAAAAAAGTAAGCCCAAATTTTCAATGCCTAAATAATATATATCGTTGCAAAAAAAAAGGGGGGGGGGAGGGCCAACCAAACTCCCCCCCCCCCCACCCCCGCTTTCGATGCGTATGTCATATTTTGTTAAAATCTTACTGAATAATCTACGTACTTAAAAATGACATCGTTCGCTTCGAGAGACTTTTTTCTTGTCATTTTAATCATTTTAGACGTCTCTGGTCGAGCCTCTTTAATTGCAAACCACTCATTTCTTCCTCGAAAAATAGGACCGTACGTACGTAGAAAGGATACACAAGATTCCGGTTGGAGTTACGTGTATAATCTGATTGAACAATAAAACCAAACACCTCGGAATGGAATACTAAATACTCTAAGTCTCTGGTTTATCCTATGTTTTAAGACATTCGCAATACAACAGTACAGTGACTTCATTTCGACCCGTACATAAACGAGCCTTTACATGTAACACATCAATTTTGATAGATATGTCGTATCTAGATAAAAAAAGGACTGAAAATAAGAGTAAGATATAAAAATTAGAAAATACTGCACATATTGAAATTATACATGCATAGTACGCAAATGCATATTTGCAGCTGGCAAACATGTAAATACATCATTAGACTGAGAAGGGAGCATAATTTATCGGTAATTAAATGTTATATTAGCAATTGCTTGAACTATATAAATTCTATTTGAAGTAGAACAAAGTCCACATGCAGTTACATATACTGTATACAGGGATATTTTCGCCCCCGTTTTATTTTCGCCCCTTTTGCCCTTGTCACAAGTGGGCGAATTTAAAACGGGGCGAATTCAAACCACACAATATAATTTCTTAATCAGAACTGTGACTGGGCGAATTTAAAGCGGGGTAAAATTGTTAGCAAGTGTAAAAGGGCGAAAATAATCCTTTTTACAGTACATACATGTACCTTGATTTGGTAAAAAAAAAAAAAAACATTTTGATAGTCTTGTTTCGTTTCGGCAGGTTTCGTTTTGATTTCGTTTCGTTTCGTCTTAATTTCGTTTCGTTTCGGTAGGTTTCGTTTCGTTTCGGTAGATTTCGTTTCGTTTCGGCAGATTTCGTTTCGTTTCGTTTCGTTTCAGTTCGTTTCGTTTCTATTTCGTTTCGCACTTTACAGGTACCCTTATTTCACGTATAAAATAATATATGCATTGAAAGCTGCTTTTCATGACATTGTAAAGTCAGAAAAACAAGACGAGGTGAAATCCTTACTCAGCTCTAGTAAATCTCATCAAAATAAATGTACGTGGTAAAAGAAGCGGACATTGAAAAATAATGACGTTGTCGGACGTCATGAAACTAAGCGGCGACGGCGCCGGATGATCATATGATGTTGTATTTATTTTATAATAATTTGGGGAATAATGAACAGATCAAGCTAAAAATTTCAACATTTCTTTATTTATTGTTGTTTAATGTCCCTTATAATATTTGTAAGCTCACAGAACATGGTACTAATTTTATAGCCTCAGTCCACGAACTTTTTGATAACCCCTTGTAACAACGATTACATACTGAAAAACTACATATTTTCGTGTGGTCATATTTTCGAGGTAGGAGGAAGATTTTTTTGATTTGTAGGAATTTGAATTCGTAGTTAGAAAATGTGTAGCAGTAATGCATATGAAATTTCACATTTAATTTGGTAATGAATTTATGGATCTCTCCATATATACCTCGCAAACAACGAAAATTAAATCCCTACGAAAATTAGTGATTTCATTATAGCAGCCTTTTAAAAAATGTTTTATATGTACCCTCGTGTGCCAATATTTCGACGGTCTTTCAATGTATTGCAATATTTAATTTTACGTAAACGATAATCCACTAAAATAAATTGAGCCGTAAAATCGTCATTCAAATTGTATTCCTTCCTGTGTAAAGATTTTTCCAATTAGTCTTATCTACTTCTATTGGTGATGAGTTAAAAAGTGACATGTAAACAATGGGCGCTGCCATTACCGGGTCCTAATGTCGACGGTTACGTCATCGATTAATATGCAAGCAAGCAGAAAGGCCAAGTTAAACAAATTTTTAGTGGAAATGAAATTAGATTTATTTTTCGATAAATAAGGTAAATTAATAGCAACAATTGTCAATACAATGCTTGATTTCATAATCAGTTTTACTCCTCAATGCAGTGAGGGCAGAGAAATTTGTCATGTAAGCGGACAACCCGTGTACTGCAAAAGTACTGCAGGTGTGCCCAGTGTTTGCATGGCATCCCATTCCTCATGCCATCACATTGAGCCCATTTGGTGAATATTAAAATATCACTTTTTCGGATCTCTTCTGGTGTAAACTTTTTACACACACAACAAAGGTCCTTTTCCAGTACAACCTCCTCCTCATCATCAGTGTCACTGTCTTCCACAACTGGCAATCTAGTTTTCTTCTGCTTTCTTGAACCTGATCCACTTGCGGCTGCCCCTAGTTCTTCATCTGATGCCTTTCTCTTGCGTTTTCTCTTACCATTTTGTTCATCTTCATGTTGCTTCATCTGATCTATTATGATGTTGTCTGTTATACAGTGTCCAGAGATGATCTTACTCATGGTTTTCCTCTCTTTCTTTTCAGAGACCCCCTCTCTCTTTGCATCCCTACAGGTTCTTATTTTAGCTTCAAAGAATTCTCTGTCATCAATTTTTTGTTCCTTTTCTCCACTTTTTTCTCTGGTTGTCTCATCCTTTGAACTGTCAGATGTCTCGTTTTCCATGATAAATATCTCCGCAGGTTTAAGACTGTCTGGTGGAATTACAGCTCGAGAACATGGGTAAATGCCAGTTTTTCTAAATGCAGCTATCAAGTTTTCTGCAGACATGGCCTTGCTGTACACCTTGCAAACAAGATGACAAATGTTATATCTTGTTACTACGGAGTGTGATTCTCTAGTAAACTTATGACATTCCGATTGTACATTTTCTGCATAGGTCCATAACAGCCAACATCCAGTGGTTGTAGAATGTGACTAGTATGAGCAGGAAGTATAAACAATATGATATTCCTGTCTCTTGCCCACTGCACAAGTCCCACAGAAGTATGAGACTTGTGCCCGTCCATCAACAGGAGAACCTTTTGGCCATCCTTGATAGGGACATGCTTCAAAAAATGATCTTCCAGAAACTCACGGAATAGCTGTGAATTAGACCGTCCTGTATCTGAGACTCTGCCTACTGCGCCTGGTGTTGCGCCTTCCATTAACTCTGGCATCATTCTTTTCCCCGCAAATATGAAAAAAGGAGGAATTGCTGCACCACTCGCACTTCCACAACCAATCACTGTGGTGGTATTAGATTTACCTGCAGTGACAGCTTGTGGTGGAAACTTGAGTGTGGTTCTGGGTAAATCCTTTTTCATCCACATTGTAAATGAGATAGGGGTTCTTGTCAAAACCATTCTCTGTGATCACTTCTTCCAGTTTTTTGAAATATCTGTCAACAACAGGAAGTGACGCACACCTTGCCCTGACGATTTCCAGACTGTGAGGCTTAAGGACTTTAAGTTCAGGCCACCTGCTCACAAAGCCTCGGAACCACTTTAGAGAAAATGGGTGCTGCCTATCTCTAACACCGCATTGAACCGCATAATCTGACGCTATGTCTACCACCTCCTGGCGTGTGTATCCGTAACCATATTCTGCCATTAACTTCAAATGTTCAACAATATTATTTTCTTGGAGTGTTTCTAATAGAGGACTCCTCCCACTCTTAATTGTCTCGGGGTCAACATTTCCCAACACGCGATCTCTGAGCGTTGTGATGGGCACACTGTACTGTCTTGCCGCTCCCATAACAGATTTTTTTTTCATTTTTTTATAGCAAGATATGCATTAGTAAGGGATGTTGGGGAATACAATCTGTATTTAGATGATTTTTTTTATAGGATTAGCCTACAAATAGAGTTAAAACAAATACACTTAGCCATTGAGTTTTCATTCAAAATGCGATTAATTTTTTTTCCTTTAATAAAAAAATAGTTCTGATAAACTCAAAATAATATTGGTTTGGCCTTTTTTTCCATCAACATTGCTATGTAAATTTCATTACTGAATTGTCAGTCTGTGCAGACGACATTATGTCAAGTTATCTGATAGCAAGCTTATACCAGTAACCAGTTTTCATATTTATATCAAAAAGTGATTTAACGTGAGGCAAACATTTTTTTCGCCTTAAACTATGTGAAATAAATGCTTACCTGTTTGAAATGCATTTTTATAGATTTTGCAGGTAATATGATCGTAAGTCTCAAGCGGTACTATGTTTACACAGACCAGCCCGATCTCGCGAGAACGAACTAGATATAAACAAAATAACGAAACCGTCGAAATTCGGACCCTGTCGATTTTAGGACCTTCGACCATACGTATTAAAGTGTATCTTTTTTTCGGTGAACGTATGCTATTTATTATATCCCATTAAGTATGTGCATTTTGATTTTTTAAAGATTTACATGTATTTACTATTCATATACTAACCCCATCTTTTCAAGACAGCTTATGCATTGTAAATGGTTCTGTGACATAGAGAAAATGCTATGATGCTTCGATAGCTGATTTCTTTTCGAAATAATGTGATTATTCATTTCATTTCAATCTTAAATTGATATATGCATCTACTTACAAAGGTGTCACCAAATAAAACGAATGCTTCAACAAAGGAGTTTGAAAAATTCAACCTTTCCATAAAAACGATCATCAAGAAAAGTGAAAATATAAGACTTTTACAACATTTAAGGTAACAATTTGAAATTAGTCATTTCTTCAAAATACGAATACATTTTTTCATTATTGGATCTTTCAAAACTCTCTCTCTCTCTCACTCTTTCTCTTTTCATTTTTATCTTTTTCTCTTGTTTTTTTTGTCTTTCTTTATTCTGTCTTTCTTTCTTTTAAATATATTACATTTTTTATCTTCCAAAGGGTTCTTCACGAATTTTTTGAAAAATGTGTTAAAATGGATAGATTCTGGACTAGATCTACCATTTTTTTTTTGTTTCATATATATTTCTTTAAAGGAATCTGCATGAGTTGTTGAAAAATGTGTTAAAGGGGATAGATTCTGGACTAGTGTTAAGAAAGAAAAGTGAAGAGGAACAGATGGCTTTAACAGAGAAACACATGGAGAAAATAAAAGAGTTAAAAAGTAAATGCAAAGAGGTAAATTAAATTGAAAGGAATGAATAGTCCTTCTCTTCGTGATTCAAGACCATTTTTTAAATTTATTTAGATATTATAAGGTAGTCCGATTCTCGTGTACTGAAAAATGAGGCGTTAAAAAATTGAAAATGCTTAGAAAATGTCTCTGAATTATAAAGGTAATCCGATATAATTTAGTACCTACGGTAAATCTACAAACCTCCTCTTTAAATAAGTTATAAAGTAAAAAAAAGGAAAATAGTAAAGCTCCTAAAAATTGTCAAATGCAAATAAAAACAGATACTTTGCATTTTCCTACTGAAAATTGATCAGGAAATACATTTTAAGGTGAAAATTTATAGGTTTGTAGGCTTTTGAAAATAAAATTGCTTGTTTTCTTAATGCTTTAATGTTACGTTTAGCTTTTTCTACTTATACTTAAATGATTTTATAGTGCATAGTGTATAAAGCGTTTATAATCATTGCAAATCACAATAAATCAATTCTAATTTCAAATCATGCCAATAAACATTGGTATCTAAAGCAAGATAGAAGAAAACTCGAATTCTTTAAAAACATGTTTTATTACAATATTTTGATTTAAAACCGTTGACAAGAATATATTAAATTTTACGTTACTTTGGTTAATTATTCTTTCGTATATAATGCTTTAGTTCGTAATATCACTAAATGATTAAAAGGAAATTATAATTTTCTTTAGGAGGAAAGGGAGTTGCGAGATAATTTCCAAAAGATGATTCAAGACTCGGCCACAGAGGTCTTTGATTACATGTCTACACCTCTTGGAAAAGATCGAATATTAAATCCTCCGGGACAAAAACGCTTAATAGAATTGCCATATTTTCCAAACGACGTGTTTGGTGAACAGCTCAATCACAGATTACGAATGTATGTCCGAGGTGTATTGCAATCGGAAAAAAATCAAAAAAAGTTTATTGAATTTAAGGAGAGGGTCCTTGCTTTTTATACTGAAATGTTGTCTGAGATTTCAGAAATGGAAAGTGATTGGACTGAGTATTCTGAAGGAACACATGTAGTTAATGTTGAAGAAGGATCAATGGTACCAATTTTGGCTGGTGTAATTGCCACGTCACCGCTATGGATACCATTACTAGTGGCCTTAACTGGTGTTGCTATTGTTATATCGCCAATTTGTATACCAGTCATCTTATATCATTTAAGGGAAGAAAACAGACAAGAAGAAATAGATTTGAGGTTTGAAAGGTGTAGGTCATCGATAAAAAGCAGAATATGTAATCATCTTAAGGAAACTTATGGACAGTTATTTGAAACACTGATTCAAAAGACTGTAAATGAAATCCTACCACGAAAGATAAATGCTTTAGAAAAAATGATTCATGAGTTATCGGAAAACCGTCAGCGAATACTTGCCAATCAAAAAACGCTTGAACGACTGTCCGAGAAGTTGAAATCCATCGAGCAAAGAAAATTTGAATTGCAGACGAACGTTGAATCAGTTATGTAAACGGAATGTATATAATTTCGATATTGCACTCGATCAGTTCAGAAGCTTGCGTTTTAATGTAGTTTAACTGCGTAAAATATCGTAGGAATGGAAGATGACATTGTATGATTGTATGCATATATTGATTGGGTCGGATGGGAACAGGTGTTTTTATGGACCCAAGAATTAAACAGTTTGTCTGCGTTAACAGTTACGATAGATGGATCGACAAAATACATTTTACTCCAGAACAGTCAACGTTTCCTTTTTAAACATCTTTTGTTAATTTGGTAATATGTAGCGTTAGCTTTTTTAAAAAATATATTTCTTAATATTATGAACTTCAAAATAATTTTGGCAATTTTTTTGGCTGAAAGGACGTCACGCAGCTTGCCGCCTTTTGTTATATCGATGCAAAATCATTATATGTTGCTGATTCCTTGAAAATCAGTAAAAAGACTGATTCCCTGCAAAAAGGTGCGTCAGTTTTATGAACTGATACACACCTATTTAGATAACCTGGTATTTTCTTGAAACAATTTTAAAAGAGTCGACATGTTCCAAATTTAATGATAAATATTCATAATGCAGCTCAGTTTAAGTTATAAATTAGGAGACAGGGCCTAATTAATATGGCAAAATTTAATATATAAATATTAAATAAATATATTGTGACGCCAACATGCATGATAATTAAACTAATATGCATTGCACAAAATATAGATCACGTTTTTTCTCAATGCAAATATTTTATAAGTTAAGTTTGCAGATACATGCACAGTATACAGACAATTGATTGAAATAAAAAGCTTATTTATTCATTTTTACTTTATATTAATAAACAATAATTCCTTTGCATAACTAGCTCGACGACGTGTGATATTCCACAAAATAACAACTGGCAGAATTTATGCAAGGTTCGTTGTATTGTTGTAATAATATCTGTATAGAACATCCAGTAAAATATACAATGTCATAAATTTTTCATGTTGTTTATTGAAACGCTTTTCTCTTGACAATAGTTTCTTTGGTATGAAAATGTAGAATGTTAAGGGGATGAAGGATATATGGTCATGTGACTCAGTTGAATTACGTCATAATCTCTGATAAAATATGTACAAAACGAGATTGAAACCACAGTACTAGTATAATTTTTTGACTGTTTGTTTGCGTTCACCATCTAGTATAAAAATATCTGAAAGCATTTAAAATTTCTTGCAAATATTATCAAATTACGGAAATGATTAATCCACTCTTCCGTTTCCCTACACTGCGCGTCCACCGCGCCGTTGACGTCATAGTGGATTTCTTAGTACAGTAAGATCAAACATGGTTAAAACGGGTAGTATAAAATCATAAAAACGGGCCATGATCTGTAAATTGTTGGGTATTTTGTGAATTTCAGACTGCAAAAACTATTTTTACATGGTTGTTGACGGAAATGTTCTGTGGGTGTGGCTAATTTCGCTTATTTAAGAAATGTGTGACGTCATAGTTGGGTTTTCCCGTACTCGAGAAATGTAAACAAGACACGTTTTTCTCATGATCATGTCTCGTTTAACTTTACCCCGTGCAATATTGAGTTCAGCTTCACCAATCGATATTTTTACAGTTAATCAATACAATGACGAACTTGAACTTCGACATAAATTTTCAAATATTGAATTATTAGATTTTTTGCAAATTAATTTTTTTATTGTTTAAGTTGTCTTAAAAAGTTCGTAAATTTCCGTCTCCAGATATGGTATTACAAAACAATCTTGCTATTTCGAATTTTTAACCATAATCATACTCTAAAATATTTTAAAAGACACATTTTCGCTGGCATATGTTTTATCTATGGTGAAAAAATTCAATTATCGACCGAGCCATGGACTCAGAAACACGGATAATCAAAACTCTGCTCAGACACTATGGGTTATGGTATTTGTCACTCAATATCTCAGAAATAGGTCTAGAAACCTAATGATATGTTTGCTTTATAGTATGTGGGACATACTAAATAAGATATATACAAAATATGAAAAAAATTAAATGACAGGTATTTTTTCGGCTAGAGGTCCTTCATCCCCTTAACTACTACAAGTAAATTAAATGCTATAATTATGTAAGAAAAAGCCATGGCAATTGATATTCAACTCAGATACATAAAATGAAAGCGACCGTGCCTTTGCTTTTCAAAATTGTGCTTCTTGTGTTTATTTTCATTATAGTGTATAATATGCTTTTTGAATAAAATTAAAAGCTTAAATTTAAATTCTTTTTTTTTTTTGGCTCTGCCATGTAATACTTTAAGGAGCGATCAGGTGTGCAATAAATGACACACTTCTCCAGAAAGCCGAGAGAACTTCAAAAACCGAAATATAGAGATTCTTAGATACTGCATAATTCAGAAAACTTTTGAGAAATATTACTGTCAGATCTATGGATGTTTTTTAAAAAATGAGGTTTGCAACATTTGATCAGCATTCCTGTATAGCAGATATTGAACTTTTAAAGAAGAATATGACCTAATCAGCATAAATCTTTAAAGACTTTAGGCCTTCTGAGTACCGTATCAGCTAATGGTAGTATTGCACATCCCGCTCATCCCTTTAACTTTTAACTTTCTTTTAACTTTGATAACTTGGCTTCTGATAAGCATACTAGAAAACTTTAATTTACTGTATAGGTGATTAATTTCACGGGTTGTAATTTTCACGTTTTTCTCTTCTCTGACACTTTCACGGTTTCTTGAATTCGCGGAATTGGTATATATTAAAAGTTTTTTCCCTTATCTATACCTATTTAACACTTATTCACTGTTTCTTGAATTCACGGTTTCATCAACACAGTGAATATAGCGAATATTAACACCGCGAGTTATTTTCCCCCTATACAGTATTCTTGTGAAATATTTTATTCATTAACTTCTGTCTTGATATTTGTGACATGGATTGAAAAAAAAACCTATAATTCAGCAATATTTTGATAAGTTAAAGCCATTTCGAAAAATATTCATGAGCTAGTTGATTGTGCAAAATATTTGAAGGATGATTCCTTGTGCATTACGGAATGTGATAAAATGGTGTCATAAAATGAAAAATCCTGAAAAAGCTATTTGGAACTCCTTATACGTTTTCAAAAACCTGCAATCAATTTTCTGTTCCTGTGCAAGTGAACAAAAAAGTCGATAGACGCGAATTTAGGACAAATAAATCATACTGATCTTACGTATTACTGTTTGAGACTTGTAAGAATATAGCAATATGAGACCCGTTGACGTCAAACACAAAGGCAGTCGCAAGAGATTTGCATGCATATTTGACCTCCTCAGCGTCAGACACAGAGAAAGATGCGCACGAGATTTGCATGCATATTAGGCCCCATTAGCTTCTTACCTATCGACCTGCCTAATTTACATTCCGGTAGAGTTATCAAGATATCAACTCAACTAAACTCTCAAAGAGTTATCACAGAGAATAAATAGCAAATGGAAATATAATGTAATGAACGATGGTGAGGCACATTTTGAAATTGTAACTTCCACACATCTACGACTTCATGGCATTACTTCATGGGCGTTGGCACAATGGAGGTTGCAGCCATTCATTCTGTGCGCCTAGGCAAAGTAAGTGTAATAAATCAGAATTAGTAAAGTGGATTAAAAAAAGGAACTTAAATCACTCAATCAAATTATTTTATGTGTAGCTAATGAGAGTTGATATTTTAGCCAAACAAATGATTAGAATTATTAACCAATCAGTACAAGCTGAACAGATGAAAAAAGTATAAATACAGGGATCAATCTAGCTTCGTTTACTTTTGGTGCGACTCTTTGTCGGAGTTAGGTGACTTGGGAAGGGTACCCGGGCTGAGTCGAGAAACAACTGAATTGTTAGTTAATAGACCACTCAGTCTGCAACTACAAGGCTAAGGTTTGATCATTGTTTTGAAAAATTATTGGTGATTGTTTTGTTAATGTTTGATTTTAGTCAGTTTACTAATGATTAAGCGAACCTAATAGATAACCATTTGTACATAGTAAGAACGTTACATAAGGTAATAGGTATTGGATCTTCGAATTGGACAAGGTTAAAAGCAGAGGAAATACTCAGTAAGAGGCAGAAAAAATGTTGCAAATAAAACAGGGTGTGGATGGAATTTTATAAAATAATAGAAAAGTCAACCAATTTACAACTTGAGATGCAAAATACGTCTGCTCGTCTTCGTTTAAAAGAAAAGGAAGTACTGGGGTTCAATAAAATATCCTTCGAAATGGTGCACCCTTTGAGTAAGTGAGCAAATACTTTATTTCTAATTCTGAGTCTATGAGAACCATTGGCACTCCACATCTTAATAAAGTATTGTTGAAAAATATACATCTACTATAGGCCTACTATAAACATAATGTTTATAGAATTCAGTGTACGAGGGCCGTTCAAAAATTACGCGGAATTGTTGCACAGAAAAAAATTTGACGACATAATCGGGCAAAATGTCACACATAATATGAAAGAATCTTTACTAATATGGTCTTCAAAATTTCATATCAAAATGTTGTAAACTGGTATCAATTTTGAGTGATTTATCAGGACATATCATTGAGCCACGGAGCAGCAGAATTTTCGACGTCACAGGCATTATAAAGAAAATAATAATGTGATTGAGCTTTCATTTTCTCAACATTTTCCCATAAGTATCTGTACAGTTTGAGTTCCCTTATCTACTCAACATCCAAACACTATTTCTTGTCGAGCTGAAAATCTGTTAAAACAAGTAAAGGATATTCTTTTCTTGTTTTAAAACCAAAAAACTGCTGGTATTTATGAGATACATTGTGATATTGGTGAGTCTCAATCGCGTCATTTACAGTCCGGATAAAGTTTTCGTCGATAATCTTTTTCCTGTCCTCCCATATAGCTTGTTTACAGATATCTAACGGTCTAAAATTTTATTTTGCTATTTGTGGACGAATGTCAGGAATACCCTAGTTTACTACATGTTTTATTTTGCATATTTTGGATCTATGTTGGCGATATCTTGAGCATTACACATAATTTAACAAAAGCGTGGTGCGCCGTCAACTCAGGAGACGTCATTTTCACAGTCGTTTTCACGGGAATCGCATCGGAAAAAAATCACTATTTTTCTGTTTGTACTTCAAATATCGTGTCAGAAATCTTAATACATGATAATAGAAGAATTTAAAGATACATTTGAGAAAATTGTCGAAAAATATCGCGAATTATAGAAAATTAATAAGTTAAATTTTGAATTCCACATGCTTTTTGCTTCATTTTTTTTTGTCGTGCTCCGTACCTCTCAATCAGCGATATCAACATACCGATAATTTTCGTAGAAATTTTTTAAAATACAGAAATTTTGCCCAAAATTTAATTGAATCTTTAAGATACATATTTCTGTGAAATTTCATAACTATATGTCGTCTGTAAGAGTAAATAATTGCAAAGTCCGCGTAATTTTTGAACGGCCCTCGTAGATGTACTTTTTTGACAATTAAGATGGGGAGTGTCTATGATGTTGTTCTAGGATGAGAACAACATCAAACATAAACAAATTAACCCATAGGCAAGGAAAGAGATCCAAAATAGAGATCTCTACAATGAATGAGGGATAATCCAAATTAAAGGTTCACGAACTAATTGAATAAAAGAAAAAGATTTATTTGTCATTTGTAAAAATTAAATATATACAAGATCTATGCAAAACGATTTACTATT